GATTGGGAGGGATGGCAATATTTTTGATCCCTGTCAAGTCACATGTCTGGTGATTTAAAGGTTTCCTCAACACCTGCTGTTAGATTCCTAAGTTGGAATGTTAAAGGTCTGAACAATCCAGTGAAACGGTCTAAAATATTTTCTCATATGAAACGCCTGAACCCAGACATAATATTCCTACAGGAAACACATTTGCAAAATTCAAATCAAGTCAGGCTCAAATATCCATGGATTGGGGAGATTTATCATTCGAGCTTCAACTCAAAAGCTAGAGGAGTTGCCATAATATTTAATAAGAATATTCATTTTACAGCATCAAGAATAATGAAGGATATAAATGGCAGATTTCTTATAATTGCAGGCTCCTTGTTCCACACTCCTGTTTTATTAGTAAACATTTATGCACCAAACTTTGATAAACCAGATTTTATAAACAATCTAGTTAGCACACTTCCATATCTTGATACTCATTTGTTAATTCTAGCTGGAGACCTGAATTGTGTAATGAATCCATCATTAGATCGCTCCTCATCTCGGTCCTATACACAGTCTAATATGTCTAAATCTATTTTGGATTTTGTGTCCCAAAATGGATATGTAGATCCATGGAGGACACGGAATCCACTAACAAGGACCTATTCTTTTTACTCTCAAATACACCAATCCTATTCCCGTATAGATTATTTTTTTGTTGATAGCTCTTTAATGCAGAGAGTCACGTCTTCTGAATACTATCCGATTGTTATTTCAGACCATTCTCCTCTAAGCATTGATATAAATTTTATAAACAAACCCAATTCTAGTCCTCGTTGGAGATTTAATACTCTCCTGTTATCAGATGAGCCATTTAATAAATTCATCTTATCATCAATTGATGATTTTCTAAGGTTCAATAAGAGCGATACAATTTCTCCCTCACTACTGTGGGAAACATTAAAAGCTTATCTTCGGGGTCAGATTATCTCTTTTTCAGCTAATATTAATAAAAATCTACGCACTAAGATATCAGAAATATCAACAAAAATTCAGAATATTGATAGGCAAAATGCCGTTAATCCGTCACATGATTTGCTGAAACAGCGACAGGATCTTCAGATGGAATTTGATCTTTTAACTACATCTGATGCGGAGCGACTCTTGATACGATCTCGAGCCACTTATTATGAACATGGGGAAAAACCAAGTAGACTTCTGGCACATCAATTGAAACGAAAAGCCGGCTCTCACATAATATCACAAATCAACGATCGGTCGGGCAATCTTGTTTCAGATCCTGTCTCTATTAATGATACTTTTAAAAAATTCTACTGCAATTTGTATAAGTCTGAACTACAAGCAGACTCAAATGAGCTATGTGCCTTTCTTCAGGATATTGACATACCTAGGATAGACAAATTGCTTTCTGACCAACTTGAAGCTCCCATTAAATTAGAAGAAATATTTGCGTCAATTAAGGATATGCAAAGTGGTAAAACACCTGGCTCAGATGGTTTCTCTGCCGAATTTTTCAAAAAATTTAAAGATAAAATAGCCCCTCTTCTTCTTGAGGTTTATAATGAGTCATTTGGGCAGGGCTTGTTGCCTCCCACCTTGACTCAGGCCTCAATTTCTCTCCTGTTAAAGAAGGATAAGGATCCTACTGCCTGCGAGTCCTATAGACCTCTTTCACTTTTGAATGTGGATTTTAAGATTTTGTCTAAAGTACTCGCGACTCGGCTTGAGACAGTTCTCCCTCGGATTATTTCACAAGAACAGAATGGATTCATTAAAGGTCGCCAGTTGTTTTTTAATACTCGTACACTGTTGAATACAATTTTTTCAACTCATTCCTCTAAATCTCCTGAAGTGATAATTTCTCTTGATGCCGAGAAAGCTTTTGATCGAGTGGAATGGGAATATCTCTTTGCTGTTCTTAATGGGTTTGGTTTTGGAGAGAGGTTTGTGTCTTGGATCAAGCTACTTTATACATCCCCTCAAGCATGTATTCTCAGTAATTCCGTCCAATCTGATTATTTTACGGTGGGACGTGGTACTAGACAGGGTTGCCCTCTTTCTCCCCTCTTGTTTGCGTTAGCCATTGAACCCCTATCCGTTGCTCTAAGATCCCTTTCTTCTTTTCATGGAATCGTCCGCTCTGGTGTCGAGCTTAAATTGTCCTTATATGCAGATGACCTTCTCCTGTATGTCTCTGACCCTTTACGGAGTCTTCCCCCAATTTTAAATATTCTAGAAAAATTTGGATCATATTCTGGCTATAAAATTAACTCACTTAAAAGTGAATGCTATCCAGTGAATTCATTAGCTTTAAAGCTTAAGCCTTCTGATATCCCTTTTAGGCTCAGTCCCTCGGGATTTAGGTATTTAGGAATTAATATTACACGTACTTTGCCCTCAATGTTTTCTCAGAATTATGCCTCACTAGTTTCCCAAATTGCATCAGATTTACAGAGATGGAACTCTCTCCCTCTTTCATTGATTGGTAGGATTAATATTATCAAAATGAATGTGCTACCTAGACTTTTGTTTTTATATCAAAATATCCCTCTGTTCTTGCCCAAACAGTTCTTCAGGTCCCTGGATCAGATGGTCTCATCTTTTTTATGGAACGGAAAGGCCCCCAGAATGAGACTTTCTTTATTACAACAGTTCACCACAAACGGGGGTCTTTCTCTACCTAATTTTACAATGTATTACTGGTCCTCACATATCCATAAACTGACTTATTGGTTAAATTCACCTGATCTGATTTGGTGTAAACTTGAAATTCAGTCGATTTCTGCATCTTTTTCGCCCGCTTCAATTATTTATTCATCATTACCAATTAAATTATCCTCAGTTACTACAAATCCTATAGTGCTCTCAACACTCAGGATCTGGTCACAATTTAGGTCCCACTTTAAATTTGTATCACCCTCTAATAAAATGCCGTTACTAAAGAATCACATTTTTTCTCCAGCATCTAATAATGCTGCCTATAGAATTTGGTATGAG